GAAGGTCTGACAGGCCCATCTGGCACCCACCCACCCACCCACAGCAGCCCCCTCTCCGTGGGAAGTTCCAGCAGGAGTGGTGAGCTGCATCCCAAAGCTGGTGCTGGTGCAGTGAGGCTGGGAAGTGCCTGGTGCCAGCTGGGTGGGAGGGTGATCCCAGGGCCCTGGCTGCATGAATCACTCCGTGTCTCAGTTTCTCCAGTAATGCAGAAGGAAGGATTGGGATTCTCTTTAGGCTGTGCTGGGGGTGAGCTGCATCCCAAAGCCAGGGCTGGTGCAGTGAGGCTGGGAAGTGCCTGGTGCCAGCTGGGTGGGAGGGTGATCCCAGGGCCCTGGCTGCATGAATCACTCCGTGTCTCAGTTTCTCCAGTAATGCAGAAGGAAGGATTGGGATTCTCTTTAGGCTGTGCTGGGTGTACAGTGAGACATGCAAGGGCCTGGTGGGATCATGTACCTAGGGCAGACCCCTGGCATCTCCGGGCAGAGCTGCTGTGCACTCCTTCCCAGGGGTGCTGGGTCCCTGCTGGGGATGCTCTCGCATCCTGGGGTCACCCCAGGCAATGGGTAATGGGGTCCCCATGTCTCCCAGGTCACGCAGGCCGCCTCCTCAGAGCTCTGCTGGGGATCAGCATCCTCTTCCTCCTTGCCCACTTCGTTTTCCAAATATGCCTGCACGTGCTGCCCGTCCTGGACCAGCTGCTGCAGCCCAGCTGTGAGTACAGGGTGCCAGGGGGTGCTGTGGGAGTGCCCACGCCTGCACCTCTGCTTTCCCTGGGGCTGCACCCCCCAAGGTGGTGACACGAGGGTGCAGGGATACCGTCCTTCTGGGTGCTGGGGGGCTGCTGAGGCTCTGTGAGGTCCCAGCCGTGGGCACATGCTGTGCCATGCCAGGTTGCCCGCTCAGCGACCACTGCAGCGGGCACAGACCCTGCCCTGGGCCCCCATGGATGTGGGGAATGATCTCCCCACCTTCCACCTCTGTTTGGGGTGTGCTCAGAGCCTGGCTGCACCAGGTCTGCTGAGCTCAGCATCTCCCTGCTTCCCTGCAGGCAGCAGATGGGAGACCCTTGCCCGGCACATCGGGCTCACCAGGTAAGAGCACCCTGGCAGTGTGGGGCAGGGGACTGGCAGTGATGGGGTGGGCAGCCCTGAGCCCTCCCCTGCCCCTCTTTTATCCCTTAGGCTGGACATGAACGACCTCCCCAACTCGGTGCGTCTTGTGGCCCCTGACGTTGGCATCCTGCTGGTCTCATCCCTCTGCCTGTGCCTGTGCCGCCGCCTTGTCCCCAAGGCCATCCGTGCCCAAAGGCCAGAGTCCCTGGAGCCACCTGAGCAGGTGAGAACCAACCCTGGCTGTGTCCCACCGAGCCCCAGCCCCCTCCCCAGGGCACAGTGCCATTCCCTGTCCCCTCATCAGGGAGGGCAGCCTGGGACATGGGGCGGGGGGGGGCGTCGCGC